TGGAACTAAACAGAACAACCAGGATGATAATACTGTACATTTAAAAGGATCTCATCATAGACAATGCATCCACATTCCCAAATACAGCACACAATTACTGTCACCACACAGTATAGTATTAGGAAGTATTCCAAAATTGAAGAAAAACTAATCAAATTTAGGAGAGCATAACAATGCCTTCTTTCATACTTTAATCCTATATTTCTGGACAAAATAATTTTGTACCAACAGTATCAAAGAATCCAACCTGATTCAAGTACAGTTACATTAAACACTTTCTATGCAATGTCTTTCACCTTAGACTATAATTGTGAAGATGAGCACACCAGAGTACAGTGTCCAGAGAGCAGCCAGCCACCATAGACTACTACAAGCAGTATACCACAACCACACACACAACATATGAAGAGGAGTTTATATAGCTGGGGTTGTTTAATTACTTTGTGGTTCAAAATGAAAGCTGCATTTCAATAATTAAAGTCCAGCGTATCCGCACTAAAGCATAAAAATAAAAAATAACATTAAATCCCACAGGGCCAGATGTGAACACGGGAGGGGCCACCGCCCACTGACTGACCGGATTCTGGATCAGATTAAGACTAGGGACAATCCCAGAGGGGCCATGGTGCCTTTTCCAATGCGGATTAGGGGCTTGTGTGGAATCAACATGCTGTAATCCACCGATTAGCTGATAATCACCTGTAAATACACCTTGGCCTGCGCACACTACAGCCAGGACAGGACAGGACAGGACAGGACAGGACAGGACAGGACAGGACAGGACCAGCCTTTCCTGGAAATGTGTGTATGTGTGTGTCTGTGTCTGTGTCTGTGTGTGTGTGTGTGTGTGTGTGTGTGTAGGCCTACACATTTCCTGCCATACCTCTGTAAGGTCTGCCACACATGCGTGGACCGTGAACCACTATTCAAAGCTTGTTATGGAAATATGTGGATGCAGTCAATGAGAGAAAACACGTTTCATATGCTGAGGAGAAGTTCTGAGGAAAAGGAGAGGCCAGTCAACCAGATGTATATAGCATGACCTCATCAGGAGTTCAGACCTCTTCAGCAGGAGTTGCCTCTGTAAAGACTAGCCAGTATAAAATAAGAACATTTTGGTTATTAAATAAGGGCTAGATTCAATCCGTAGCGAGGAAGATCAGCGCGATTTAAATGTTAAGGTAATTTCCAATTGAGCTGACATATGTAGCGTTTACCGTGAATGCAGTCTCCGCGAACGCGGGAACATTGCCTTTAATTTTCAATTGCGCTATAACAGGTATCTTCCGCTCTACAAATTGAATCTAGGCCTTACGCACCTAACACAGGCCTGGTCCCAGATCTGTTTGTGCTTTTCACTACTCCATTGTTATTGTCGAGCATGATAATTCCATAAGGAGTTGGCAAGAGAGCAACAGAAACAGACTGGCACCCAGATTAACGCAACGCCACAGATCCAACGCTTTCTTCAACCTGTCACACCAATTCTAGAAACAGCAACATCAGCTATACTCTGAAAATACATTAGGAGGCTTTTAGATAATCTTATGCGTAATACAAGGATCCAAGAGGTTGTAGTAAAGGGTACAGCATATCAGATCCAAGCAATAAATACTGGATGTACACCTCATAAAAAGTATAGGCATACTTCAATAGAAGAGGTATTGTGTTATGTACAGTAAACTTATCTGAAATCTGTAGAGAGGTCAAAGTTTGGGTGCATGATGCAAACATAATATACTGAACAAAAATATATAAACGCAACATGTAAAGTGTTAGTCCCATGTTTCATGAGCTGAAAAAAATGATCCCATACATTTTTCTTACGCACAAAAAGCTTATTTCTCTCAAATTTTGCACACAAATATGTTTACATCCCAGCTAGTGAGCATTTCTTCTTTACCAAGATTATCCATCCACCTGACAGGTGTGGCATATCAAGAAGCTGATTAAACAGCATGATCATTACACAGGTGCACCTTGTGCTGGGGACAATAAAATGCCACTCTAAAATGTGCAGTTTTGTCACACAACACAATGCCACAGATGTCTCAAGTTGTGAGGGAGCGTGCAATTGGCATGCTGACTGCAGGAATGTCCACCAGATCTGTTGCCAGAGAATTTAATGATAATTTCTCTACCATAAGCCGCCTCCAACGTCGTTTTAGGGAAAAACTAATTCTGATTGGCTGGGCCTGGCTCCCCAGTGGGTGGGCCTATGCCCTCCCAGGCCCACCAATGGCTGCGCCCCTGCCCAGTCATGTGAAATCCATAGATTAGGGTCTATTGAATTTATTTCAATTGATTGATTTCCTTATATGAACTGTAACTCTGTAAAATCTTTGAAGTTGTTGCATGTTGCGTTTATATTTTTGTTCAGTGCCTTCAGAAAGTATTCATACCCCTTGACTTATTCCACATTTTGTTGCGTTACAGCCGGAATTCAAAATGGATTAAATATATATTTTTCTCACTCATCTACACACAATACATCATAAGGACAAAGTGAAAACGTTTTTAGGAATTTTTGCAAATGCATTGAAAATGTAATCCAGAAAGATCTAATTTACATAAGTATTCACACCCGAGTTGATACATGTTAGAATCACCTTTGGCAGCGATTACAGCTCTTTCTGGGTAAGTCTCTAAGAGCTTTGCACACCTGGATTGTACAATATTTGCCCATTATTCTTTTCAAAATTCTTCAAGCTCTGTCAAATTGATTGTTGATCGTTGCTAGACAACCATTTTCAAGTCTTGTCATAGATTTTCAAGCAGATATAAGTCAAAACTGTAACTCAGCCACTCAGGAACTGTCTTGTTGGTAAGCAACTCCCAAACATAACAATTTGTATTCAGGACAAAAAGTTAATTGTTTTGGCAAATTTTTTTGCAGTATTGCTTTAGTGCCTTGCATGTTTTGGAATATTTGTAAATCCCTGAGCGGTTTCCTTCCTCTACAGGCAAGTGAGTTAGGAAGGACGCCTGTATCTTTGTAGTGACTGGGTGTATTGATACACCATCCAAAGTGTAATTAATAACTTCACCATGCTCAAAGGGATATTCAGTGTCTGTTTTTAATTTTTTTATCTACCAATAGCTGCCCTTCTTTGCGAGGCATTGGAAAACCTCCCTGGTCTTTGTGGTTCATTCTGTGTTTGAAATTCACTCGACTGAGGGACATTACAGATAATTGTATGTGTGGGGTACAGAGATGAGTTCGTCATTCAGAAATCATGTTAAATGTCCATGCAACTTATGTGACTTCTTAAGTACATTTTTGCTCCTGAACTTATTTAGGCTTGACATAACAAAGGGGTTGAATACTTGACTCAAGACATTTCAAAACTTATTTTTAGTAAAAAAATTCTAAAAACATAATTCCACTTTGACATTATGGGGTATTATGTGTAGGCCAGTGACAAAAATCTCAATTTTATCCATTTTTAATTCAGGCTGTAACACAATTTTTTTTTGGAAAAGTCAAGGGGTGTGAATACTTTCCGAAGGCACTGTGTTGGTAGAGCATGGCGCTTGCAACGCCAGGGTTGTGGGTTCGTTTCCCACGGGGGGCCAGTATGAAAAATGTATGCATTCACTAACTGTAAGTCGCTCTGGATAAGAGCGCCTGCTAAATGACTAAAATGTCAAATGTAAAGTACTGTAGCACCAAAGATTGTTAATGCCATCTGCTGGCAGTTTATAACACATACATGTGAAGTTACTTGCTAATCCAGGTGTGCTAGGCTGTGAATCGACTCCATTTCAGACATCTGAGACACAGCCCACCCATTACTGTTCATTAAGAAACATCAAAAATCACTTCTCAAAGCTGAGGTCAGGCTCCTCATATTTTGTGGTTCAAAATGCTAATTTATTAAGTGACATAATAATAATGACTATTATTATTTGCTGGGTGCTTATATTTACATGTGTGAATTGGAAATGTGTCTTTTGCATACCCCACTCTCCCTGAGACACCCTCGGAGAGTGGGGTCACGGCCCGGGTCTGCCATTATCCACGGCGGCCCTGGACCAATTGGGTCAAGTGCCTTGCTCAAGGGCACAGACAGATTTTTCACCTTGTCGGCTCAGGATTCAAACTAGTGATCTTTCGCTTACTGGCCCAACGCTCTAACCGCTAGGCTACCTGCCGTCCTGCAAAAAAAGGTAATATCCATGGTGTACTTCACTACACACAATGTACACACTATGTACTCTAAAACGAAATGTTTGATGATGCTTTTTTATTTGGTAAGACACTTAAGAGACATTCCTGAAAGGGAGATGAAATAGTTTTGGTTCATAGCAGATTCATCATGCCTGATATGAAAAACAAGAAACAAATTATTAAGTCTACACCGACACAAAATGTACAAGGCATGAAATCAAACAATATAAACAATATTTTATATATAAAACATGGCAAGCTTAATAAATATTACAAATAAACAAAAACTAGTAAAGTAAACAAATGTTAAACTATTTGGTTTGGGCAATATTTGACAAGGAGGGGTTTAGAGAACGCATATTAAATCATCAATAAGAACAAGCTGAATGTCAGTTTGACCATGTTAATCTACTATGGTGGTCAATGCTCCCGCCGAATCACTTTTCCTATTAGTGTGGACAGAAAGTCATTCAAAGAAAACTGATTCACAAATCATATGCAACCCCAAACCATTGTTCAGTCTCTTAGTTACTGTATTGTGTTAATGTGTTACATTAAAGAAACACAAAATATGCAATGTCTCAAAAGGTGTTTCAAGCTCATTGTTACATGGAATATTTTTTTAGTGTAGACTGCTCTTTTACAAATCACCATATTCTACCTTGTATTTGTTCTATGTAAGCTGCACGTTGTGAGTGCATGCTCAAATCTTTCGACATTAGTGTAGTTATGTTTCCCAAAATAACTCCATTCCACCTAATAACCAAGGGTTCATCTTTCTGCTTCTAAACACTAAGAATGGAAAACCATTTCATCATCTTAGTCTTTATAGTTAAATCATACCACCACTATTGATTGAAAAAATGGCTTCAGCACAGTAGAAAATATAAAGCCCAGAAATTGCTCTGTGTCTATGCTAATCTTAGATGCAGCAATTTTGAAAATAAATTGTTGGCTCTGTACGTTTGAAAATACACAGCAGTTGATAACACAATATGTGGTTGTTACTTGTTGCTGGAACACTGTTTTTATGTATACCTTTAGTTTAGAATCTACTTGGTACTCAGGTGTTTACATCTTTGGGTATGTTACTCACAGAGGATGAAAATCATGATGGAAATAATTTTGGTTCAGTCAGGAGTTTAGGACAATGTATCATTCACACACAGACACACCCACCCAGACAGACACACACACAACCAATTCAAAGTGTGCACTGTGAATGTAAAGTTATCCCCTTAGTGATTCTTCTATTTAACAAAGATATAATATTTATTGTTTTTGTTTTATCAAAGCAAACTAGGAGTAGAACAAATACCAGGACATCTTAGTTGCTGCAATTCACCAAACACATTTTAGAGAGCTATTTTCTTCAGACATTGTGACTTTTTCTTTTCATTACTTAAAGATGCATTCTCCAACTTTTGTATCATTTCAGCCAGTAGTTTTGAAAGTGGTGCTCACGAGCCAAAAGTGGTCCATGTTTTTTGTGTACTATGTCATCCAATTGTGTACTGTGTCATCCATCTCGTGTGATATAATACGAATTTTGCAATTTGTATGATATCATACGAATGTTGCAATTCGTGTGATATGTTATGAATCCAATTTGTGCAATATGTTATGAATTTGGATCCCGGAGTGCATCTTTAAGAGTTAAGAGTGTTTGGGCCACCCTTTCCTAGATCATCTCTGATTCTCTCCGGTCCATTGCAGAGAGAAGCATGCAGATCTATGCCTGGACTACCCCTCTTTCAGTCTCTTTTTAGAGGGTAGGCCGGTAGGTTGTTACCCTACACCAGTAACTGTCTAGTCCACCCAAAGGTCCCAGCCTCAGCTCCCCTCAACGCTACGTCCGTCCGTCCGTTACAAAGTGCAAGCAGTTAAATGTCTCTTTGCCTTTTCCCTCCCACCCCACACAAACTGAAACCAAATGCAACAGCAAAGAAGGTTCTTATTGTCCGATTGCAAAACCGTTCAGCAGACACTGTCCAACAGGCAATGGGAAGGGAGAAGGCAGCTCGAGAGAGTGCATGTGTGTCACAAGGAATTCAGTCCCCTCTATGCAGACTCCATAGAGTATGGTTCCTCTTCGTGGTCAGGTTGCCACTAGTTGGTTGGTTGTCTGCCAGAGTGGTTACACCTCCCTAGAAACAGAAAACACACAACAGCTATTGATTACCACAAGGCCTTTGGTATTGTAGAGAGTAAAATACAACTTTGGCTCAAAGAGTTCCTCTGTGGGTTCTACTTTGGTAGTGATTTCAGTGTAAACAACCACAACTTGCATTGTGTCAACTTGGCAGAAACATCAGAGAATCAAATACTGTAAGCCTACATTTAAGACCAAAGAGCACATCCAGGTGTATAGAGATGATACCCATGTATAAAGTGAGCTGTGACTTACGATGCGGTGAGAGTAGAGTTGAGCACTAGGGTTGTGCGTATCCTATAGAGCTGGGCTAGGGTCAGCTTCTTGTGCTGCTGGGCCTTCCTTCTTTTAGGCGACGACTGCTTCTCTGGGCAACCGGCTGTGAACGACTCACTGCACTTCCCCCCCTGTCCTCCAGAGGGCGCCACCACAGTCTCCCCATCTGAGCCGCTGCTGTTAGCCTGGCTCCTGCTGCCTTCACAGGCCTCAGATGCAGCCAGAGCCCTCTGGACCTGCCGGGCCTCCGCCTTCCTCAGGGAGTCACAGAGCTTACCAGAAGGCATGCTCATGTTGAGGAAGTCCTCATACTCAGGCTCTGAGTCTAGGTCAGTCTGAAACAGCCCCGTAAGGTCTTGGGCTGATAGGCTCTTACTGTGGACCAGGCATTCCGCACTCTCTCTCCTGTGTTCTGATTGGTCCTGGGATGTAGGGCTGCGGGTTTGTATCTGGGAGACAGGGGCGTTGTCACGGAAACGCTGCAGAAGGTTGTCCTCTGAAAGGCACTTGATGTTCAGGCTCTGGAGGCGGGCTTTCACCGGGGGGCGTCGCCGAGGCTTCAGAGACTGAACCACTGACAGCTGGGAACCAACAGAGGTTGAATCCTCCTCCTCCACTTCCTCATCCTCCTCCACCAGTTTCATTACCACCTTTTCGTTCTCCATTTCCACCTCCACCTCGTGGCCCTCTATCTCTCCCTCCTCTTCAGTCTCCTCTCCCTTGCTCTGGCCTGGTCGTGTCTGCAGGTCCAGCTCTCTCAGTAGGGACTCTGGGGAGAGGGTACCGTAAGCACTGTCCATGGACAGAGAACGACACTGAGGCTCCAGCTCAACCTCCCCTTCCTCCATACCCACCTCCTGCTCTGGCTCATGGTCCCGGTCGGGATGGTTGTCCTGGGGGCTGGCAGGGTTGCAGTGCAGGTGCTCAGGGCCAACAGGTGGGGTAACTATGCTCGAGTCTGGGCTCTTCTCTAAGGGTCCTACTGGGTCTGTGTTTGGGGCAGAGGGGTTTTGGTGCTCTCCTGAATCCTCTCCTATGTCCATGACTGACAGGGTCTCTGTGGAGCCATCCGAATGACTGGAAGAGAAAGAGAACAAAATGTTAGAATGATGACAATGGTTCTAGTAATATAAACAATAACAATAATGTATAACGTTTATATGAAATAATCTTTGCACAGATCTGATCAACATCTACACAGTGTCTTTATAGAAGAGTGAGGCTCTACTATATCTAAGTAGTTGTTTGGGTTTGTACCTTGGGCCCTGCTGATCTTTGTGCCTCATGCAGGAGGAGCTGGAAGTGGAGTTGCTGCTCTCCTCGTCGCCCTCCTCCTCTCCATCTAGCCGGCGCTGTAGGGAGACCTGCTGCCTGAGAACCTCCTCAGTCCGCATTCTCTGGAGCTGGTTCTGGACGTTGCAGATGGCATCAACCCAGCTTCGCCCCTGGGTGGCGCTGTTGGCCTGGAAAGTATAGGCTGCCACAGCGCTCTTGAACTCATTGAGGTAGATGAGAATGAAGCAGCCTATAGGAAGAGAGAACAGCTAATCAAAACATGTTTGAGTAAACAGAGCTAGTAAACAGAAATACTTCAAACACTACGCAAGCACTTGCTTGAGCCTGTCTGGAGTGCCAGATGGGAAGGAATATCACTTTTAGGACTTTTCTATTGGTTCCATTGCGGCAGACATGCTTAATCAAGCACAACTGAAGTATTTGAAATAAACAAATACCTTGAACCCTGGTTTAAATGTAGTTGCATGCTGGTACTCACCAGGGTCCTTGAGTTCCTTGCAGATGACATTGTGGATGAGGAGGGGCTGTCTGATCACCTTGACCTTCTCTAACCTCTTCACTGGTTTGGTGATGAGCAGCAGGTCTGTGAACAGGAAGCAGTACACGTCCATCTGAGGACGGAAGGATGGGGAAATACTTCTAGGTCAATTTCAGGTCTATTGTCATCATTCTAGTACAATAACTAGGCTAAATCAAATAGGTAAATATTATGAAAATAATCACCCTGGTCATTGACTTATTCTATCACAATGACAATGGGTAGTTCTCAGTGGGTAGTTCTCAGCCTGCAACAGTTATAAGCAGTTATAATGAGATAAAAGCAGTTACCCTGCTGTCTTTGCCCTCCTTCATGCGCAGTGCCCCCTCCAAATGGAGCTGTCTGGTCTCCTCTGGTGATGTGCCTCTCATAGGAGCCATCAGGTCGAAGCGGTTAAACTCACGCAGGATCTAAGGAGAGAGAGAAGAAGAAGGGTTGTACACCAAGCAGAAACACAAGCCTCTTGAAGCAACATGTAGCACAATTTCAACCTGGACTAAAAATCACATTCAATAGAGATTCTAGTCTAGCAGTAGACTTGCAGCAGTATATCCAGGAAGCTAGCCCTGAGTATGGCGTGTGCTCACCTTCTCCACCTCCTCGCTGCTCCCCTCCACTGCTTCGTAGGAGTCGATACGTCCAGAGATGGCGGCTAGCTTCTGCTGCTCCTCCCGCTGGCGCATCTGAGAGTCCACACTGTTGATGAAGCCCTCCACACACGCCACCATGCTGTTGATGGCGTCACGGGACGATGAGTCGTCAGTCTTCTTGAGGACAGCCTTCAGCAGTAGGGGGTACTTCGTGAGTCTCTGGTGAGGCTTGGCCAGCATGTCAGCTAGTTTCAGCCGGTTACACTGCTTATGAGTCTCAGCCCACTGTGCAGGGAGAGAGACCAGGAGTTAGAGGTTAAAGAAAATGTGGCTAGGAACTTACTGAACAACACTGAAAAGTGGCATGTAGAATGTAATAGTGGTATTTGATATTGGTAGACTTTGCTCTATTTGTGAGATGAGTAAATAGTCTTTGGTGGGCAGTTGTTTAACTTTACACTGTCAGTATAAACAGAAAGATCGGGAGGACAGACTGACTACAACTCACCGTGACGTAGATCCTGAAGAGCTCGTTTTCCCTGAGTAGTGACCTCATGTACTCCATACTGGCCTCCTCCTCCATGCAGTAACGGATGTAGGGCTTGAACCTGGAGCCAAACGTCCTGAAGCCGTGGTGGAGGTCTGTAGGGTTGAGGAGGGTCCTGGCCTGCCGGGCGATCTCCAGGGCAGGCAGCATCACCTGGTTCCACATCGCCGTATGCAGACGCACAATGTCCTGGATGTTACTGAAGAGACGCGCAGGCTCCACCTCCGTCAGCAGACCACTCTCCTGAAGGTTCAACAGCCCACACAGGAACAACTGGAGGAAGATAGGACATGGGAGAACAGGTTGCAATATGGGACATCATATAGGACATCTAGAGAGTACTGCACAAGAGATAGACAACCTACACTGAGTGTACAACACATTAGGAACACCTTCCTAATATTGAGTTACACCCCCTTTGCCCTCAGAACAGCCTTAATTCGTCAGGGGCATGGACTACAAGGTGTCGAAAGTGTTCCCTAGGGATGCTGGCCCATGTTGACTCCAATGCTTCCCACAGTTGTGTCAAGTTGGCTGGATGTCCTTTGGGTGGTGGACCATTCTTGATAGATGCACACGGGAAACTGTTGTGCGTGAAAAATCCAACAGCGTTGCAGTTCTTGACACACTCAAACCAGTGCACCTGGCACCTACTACCATACCCCGTTCAAAGGCACTTAACTCTTTTGTCTTGCCCATTCACCCTCTGAATGGCACACATACACAATCCAGGTCTCAATTGTCTCAAGGCTTAAAAATAATTATTTAACCTGTCTCCTCCCCTTCATCTACACTGATTTGAAGTGGATTTAACAAGTGAGATCAATAAGAGATCATAGCTTTCTCCCGGATTCACCTGGTCAGTCTGTCACGGAAAGAGCATGTTTTGTACACTGTGTATATGTGTCACTTACGGCACTCAGAAAGCAGACCCAACCAAAAGAGGATTCATTGAAGTAGTTCATTTGGACTTGACATAGAGTACAGGGTTAGGGTGTTCTTCCAAAAATGATGTAGGGGTAAACGTGTGTAAGGGAGAAAAGCAATTACTTTGTAAAGGGCACTTACGTCAGTGATGACTCGTAGTTTCTTGATGTAGGTGGCCTCAGTGTGCAGGAGCTCCCAGATAGCTTCCTGCTGGTGGAACTGGCGTCTGGTCAACGTCTGGAAACACACACAACCAAACACACTCAATTAGATAATGGCCTCATACACATCTATGTGAACACTCACATATAAGAACACAGGACATCCCCCACGTTCATGAGTTAACCGCCTTACACTTGGTCTGAACATACAAAGTAGCAACACACACACTCATAGGATAAAAGCAGTGTTGGAAAAAGTACCCACTTGTCATACTTGAGTAAAAGTAAAGATAACTTAATAGAAAATGACTCAAGTAAAAGTCATCCAGTAAAATACTACTTGAGTAAAAGTCTAAAAGTATTTGGGTTTTAAATATACTTAAGTATCAAAAGTAAATCTAATTGCTAAAATATACTTAAGTATCAAAAGTAAAAGTAAACCATTCCTTATATTAAGCAAACCAGACGGCACCATTTTTTCTTTTCTTTTTTCTATGGTTAGCCAGGGGCATACTCCAACACTCAGACATCATTTACAAAGGAAGCACTTGTGTTTAATGAGTCCGTCAGATCAGAGGCAGTAGAGATGCCAGGGATGTTCTCTTGATAAGTGCATGAATTGGACCATCTTCCTGTCCTGCTAAGCATTCAAAATGTAACTAGTACTTTTGGGTGTGAGCGAAAATGTATGGAGTAAAAAGTACATTATTTTCTTTAGGAATGTAGTGAAGTAAAAGTAAAAGTAGTCAAAAATATAAATAGTAAAGTGAAGTACAGATACCCCCAAAAACTACTTAAGTAGTTTACACCACTGGATAAAAGCCATAAGGCATGTCTGAGAACATACTGCACGAAACAGACTCACGAGATAACGGCTTTATGTTACATGTCTGCCCACAAACATCAGCGCACACACTCATAAGATTATGTAAAAATGATACCATCAAGATTGAGCTCAATCAAACACTGATTGAGTTGGAGTGACTGACTGAAATCCCACGAACCTTGATCCCTAATCACACAGTATCTTATCACACACAGACATCGGTCTATCTTGTCTGATTACCTGAGCCCACCTCTAAATCTGGTAACGTTTATATAACTCCATATCAACCTTAATAACAGCTGTATAACACTGTCTGTAAACATTATCAGCCCTCTGTTGCTGGGAAACACTGGACTGGATGGGCGTGAGATTGTCAGGCCAAAACAGGAACTGATTGTGAACAGTTTATGACTTAATATGGGAGTAGTTTGCATTCTTTGAAATGTCGAAAAATGCCAATGTGTGCATTCTAATGAATGTGAGTAGCTATGTGTATGTGATCAAGCATGTGTGGTTATGTGTCAGTGAATGAGTGTGTGTTTCGGTGAGTTTATGTTTTGGTGCGTGCCTGTATTCATGTGTGTGTGTGTCTTCATGTTACCATACCTCATGGTTGTCTAGTAGCTGTGTCCAGCTGTCCTCCAGGGTGAAGCTGGTCTCCTCCTCTTCCTCCTCCCAGGAGTCGTGATGGAAGGAGAACTGAGGAGGAACCTTGGGAAGGCCAAACAGAGTGTACGAGTGCAGTTTATTCTGGAGCTGCTCCATGCGGTCCAACTCCTGATAGAATGGGTAAAAACACATACATGTTAATGAACACAGATCCTGGGCAAAATAAGTATTCCTGCTTCACTAGAAAGTAATTCACATGCACAGCACATTTAGATGAAATCATAAGGTCAGTATTACTTTAGGAAGGGGAGAGGCAGGAACAGTGTCTTTAACTGTATTATAATATTACAATAGAGGTTATTACACTCTTAAAGAAAACTGTATGCCAGATTGACCTCCTGCATTAGCATAGTCCACTGAATTCTTAAATCTTAACAGCTACCCAGACTATTGTCCTGCCAGGGCAGCCTTATGTGTACGTATGAAAATGAGCTCTGTGCATTGAGATCATTTGGACAATAGAGGAGGTGGGGGGGGGGTGATGCTAACTGTGCTTTGGGGACCTATCCCCTGAAGGGGGTACAGGATTTGGTTGTTTGACCCTGGTTCACCTCTGCTTTGTGGAGAGGAGAGGGGGCAGGTCTCTATGGTCCACCACCCAGCCCTGCCACTGACAGGGTTAAAGATGATGGCCATTGGCCACGGTGAATAGAGATGACCTGGGAGCTGACAGGTGAGTGACAGACACAGTCTCCCTCTGACATCTGCTACTGTGCAGGATATGACCTCAGGGGAGCGCGGACAATGTACGTGTGTGTGTGCTTTGTTAGTCTTAAGAGATAAAGGTGAATGATTATTGCCATTTCATATTTTTGTGTCTTATTTTTCCATTCTTGTGTGTGGAATGTTATTATCATAGTAGGGACTTGAATAGACATTACTCAAACATGTTAATCCTTTGTTCTTCCAGGTCACTTCCACCACAGCTACTTAGCGTATTTGTTTAGTGGGACGTTGCTATGTGAGCCAACTCAGAGGCTTTGGAGAGGAGGGAAGTGATCTCACTGGGAGCTGAGTGGATATGGCCTTTTACCCTCACCTTGCCAAAGGCCCCTGCTCCAGCGTTGGAGCCGAAGAAGCCAGAGAAGCGGCTGGCAGCGCGGTTCTTCCAGCTGTCCGATCCAACCCCCATACTGGACAGAGAGCCGCTCAGCACGGTCAGGGAGTCCGGAGACGGGATGCTGGCGTCCCCAAGGAACTCTGTCATGTTCTTCCTGCGACGTGCCTGACCCTGCAACATCCAGGAGAGACCCGTGTTAAAGCATTTACATGAAGTCACCATGAAAAGAAAAGAGAGAGCGAAACAGAAAGAGAAGAAAGAGAGGGTAAGAAGAATATCAACTCATCCGAAAAGAGAGGAGGAAAGACAGGAAGGAAAAAGTCAAATACACGAGGAGAATAAACAGGAAATCAGAGGGAATTTTTGAAGTGAAGGATGACATCAGCAGGAGAGCTGTTAAAGCAATCCTAACATCCTAACTGTCGTTCAGACACAAACAGGACCACAGGGACGGAATGCCTCTTCCTGAGACGGAACACTAATTACATCACAGAGGGAAAGAGAACAGGCCAGGGGGGGAAGAAGACTGTTCCATAAGAACAGGCGGACGGCTGGAGTCAATCCACTCCATTGTGCCATCACTATTCCAAATCAAAAACCAAATCAAATGTTATTTGCCACATGCGCCAAATACAACAGGTGTAGACCTTACAGTGAAATGCTTATTTAAAAGCCCTTAACCAACAATGCAGTTTTAAGAAAAATAAGTGTTAAGTAAAATAATAGATAAGTAAAAAATGTAAATTAAAAATAATTAAAGAGCAGCAGTAAAATAAAACAACAGTAGGGAGGCTATATACAGAGGGTATTGTTACCCTGTCAGCAAGCAAGCCCTTCCGCCGGCCTGTGCGCCTTAAACATGCAATCTCAATCCACTTTACGAGCACTGTCCGCCTGGGAAACCAAACAAACATGGGCCTCCTCAGTATCTGAGGAAACAGTTGTTTTTACCATCAGAGAGAGACAGTGTGTCAGTGCAGTGTACTCTGCTAGTGGGGACTAGGGAGTCGCTGGGCCATTGACCCGTGTTCAGTTCATGTCACAGTAGAAAGGTACATCAATTCCAAGGTATTGACTGCTGTTTTCTTATCCACTGCTCTCAATCTCAACTATTTCCCTTTCACGCCATTCTGGGTGGCTAACAAACCATAGGCAGAGGATAAGAGAAAAAGAGAGGTCTCCGTCTACAGTTCATGATCCATAGTGAGAATGTACACAAAGAGGCAGGTTAGCATTGACAAGTGGTGTGGTAAACTGTCAGATGGAGAGGAGCAACAGCAAACCACTCTCTCGCTCTCTGCAGACACACATTATCTACTGTACCCATCTATAAACAATACTGTTCAAAATGTATTACCTTTCGGGATTCTTTAAAGGCTTTCATGCAGCAACCACTTTTAGATCAATCTTTGTAGTACACTACAATCTTCTCCTCCTATCCAAAGTAGTATGAACTGTTACTTCATATCTGGGGATGTTTTCCTCCTCTGTTTTAGTATCAACGTGGGATAAGATCAAGAGGGAAAGTAACAAATGACTCAAGCATAATTTCCCATCCACTATATTTAGATATAACTGCTTCAGTGGAGCAAACATTGTGGCCTCTCATCCAGCTCTGACCAGGGGGATTTTGGCCAAGAGGACAAGGACACAGGTGCAGGAAGTGGACACAGAGAGAGAGAGAGCGAGAGAGAGAGAGAGACTCTGGACTCATTGGGCTAGACCAGAGAGGCTAAATTCCTATTAGCTTAGCACGGGAATGCTCTGGCAACAGATACACAGAGCATGGTAGGTGAGAAAAATGTGATTCTAGTTTTAGCGACATGCTTTTTAGAGTAGTATATGGTAACGAACATTTTACCAAAACTAAAAACGACACAGTATCAGTCATTTGCAGGACATTTCTGAAATCATGAGTTTCAATACACTATAGCACAAAACAAAGTCCTGGCACTATGCCCACCACCCCAAAGAGAAGTAGGCTAAGCCTCTGCTACCACAACTGCAATACCCTAATGTGACTTCAAGACTTGCTGTCTAAACTGGGATGTCTAATTCTCCCTGACAGATCGATGTACACGTCTAACAGAGATACAGTAAGGGAAAGGCTCCCTGAAGTTTCACACAATGTAAGCAGTATAGTACTCACCATTGAAACCAGCGGCATGTCAAAGATTACAAAAACCATCCTAATCCTTCAGTTAGAGACTCATTGATTGCAGCCCGTTCCGGACCGGACCTAGCTGCAGTGTTCTCTCAAGTTAAACCTCTCTTCGTCCTTCTCCGATACACACACACACGAGAGCCAGAGCCCTAAGACTAAGAGGGGAAAGCCCCAGAGAGCGACAGCTGCAACAACGAGAAGTTGTTCCCCATCAAAAAAGCACTTCTAAAGTCAAGTTATGAGCGGAGATGTCCTGCTCAAGTTGAAAGAGTCCAGGTTTTGATGTTTGTGGCTTTTGTGTCCTTTCTATCTCCATGAACACACCATGAGCACCACCCCAGGACTCATCTTTGAACTCTGTGGTAGTCCTTCAAGTCCCGCTGTCCTAACGCTGAGAGGTGAAGCCTGCTGTGATGACTGAGCCTGCTGCCTGCCTAGAATTTCACACAGCCACTGTCCAGGAGTCATAGCAACCAGGAGGATCCTGCCTGCCCCATTGTGTTGAGGAGGAAAGGAAGAGGAGGCGGGGCTTCAGGAAAAGTGTGAGAGTGTGTGTGTGTGTCGCTGATCTGCATAAAGGGGGCGTGGACAGAACAACAGCTTGCAGGGTAGAAGAGAACAGACATCCTGGTGCTGCTGAAGACTTGCCAACTGTTCATCTGTTCATAGTGGCTCTTTGGCCCTTTGTTTAGAGCCACCTCTGACGTCCAACTTCCTTGTTCTGACTGTTCTGAATCCCCCACAGACTCCAACAACAACCCCCCCCCCCCCCTTTCCTTTTCTTGTAAACCAATGCATTTCTCTCCAAACTGACTGACAGCTTTGCAGCTTTATCATTCAAATCTGGCATGCCTCCTGATTGTAAATGAAACTGTTAGTCTACAGCTGTACAGAACAGACATGTATTCAGGCCGTCCCTGGTATGACGCATGTACCAGGCATATAGAAACAGACTCACAAGGACAGTTTTGCCTTTGGGAGCAAAGCAGATTGTCACATAGACATTCATCTGGGAATGTCTCCAGGGGTAGAAAAAAAAGAGGCAATGAGCGAGTTAACAAAGCATGTATTACTGAAATGGTGAGAGCCTTAGTTAGGCCTTTACCACAGTGAAATGACGACAAAGTCTTGCTCTATTGTAGTTTGAACTACTGATGGGCATTCCAAGCTTTTTCATTGAGACGTATCTTTTGGCTCCGTTCAGCTAAAAGAGCCATTAATTTGCCTCACAAGTGGCTCTTCATAAAGTAGTGCTTAAAAAAAATGTATGAAAACAGCACATGTCTAATGTAAAGCCTAAAAGGTTGACTATCATTATGTCAGCTCGTGAAACGTGAGTTCAAATACAATATCTAATTTTACACACGGCAAACAAGACTCAACACGCTAGCCACTCCTCACCCAAATGGCGCAGTGAGGAATTTCATTCATAATGTTTTTATAGCAATATTACAGATAACAGATAGGCTGCCAATATAATACTTTATACATGTAAACTAATGGTATGGATCAGACCGTTTTTGATCTATGCTGTAAATTAACACGAACAAACATCAAATTAGGCTGGTAAGAGTACTATTCAGTGCCAATTTGTTATCAGGCTCCACAGTGCGAGCAAAATTTAATGTTAATGCATAGTATATACTTTATAAAATAAATGTGAGTAGTGTTTCAAAGTATTTTGGCTTGTGATAGCTGGCAATTAAATCGCAAAGTCAAGATATGATCCATATGCCTACCAACTCGCCTGCAACATCCTGCTATGCGCAAGTGAAGAGCTGAGTGAAATATTCATTTTTAGAAGCTCTGCACACAGGCATAAAAGTTTCTTGGTTATTTACATTGTTTTGTTCACAAGCTAGGTTGTTTCAACTGCTAGGGAAGAGAAGACAAGCTGCTACTAGTCAGACTCAATCTCACAGGCACAAACATGACTCAAGTCACGCTACCACGGTAACCTCATGCCCTTAAAGGGGCAGGTAAACATTTGTCTCATGATATTTTGGTTAAAAGACAAATGAAATTAAACAATATACCACATTACTTCTTACTAGTAATACATTTATTGTTTTAGAAACATAAAGCATGCTCATCTGTTTTTTGTTTTGATGTTGTAATTTTAGCAAACAAAAAAATAATTTAGGCTGGTAAAAAAATCTGAGTGGCTGGTAGATTTTTAAATCTACCTGCCACAGTGGCTGATGGATCAAAAAGTTAATTTTATGCCCTGGTCATAACCGTTAAAAATGATACGTTTTTTTGTGTGGAATTTTTGTTGTTGTTGTTGAGCTGACTGAAGATGGGACGGCCGGGCATTTATAGGTTAGTCCGTTTCTGCTCCAACATGGACTCTACAACTACTGATGTGGGCGGCAGAAGGGGGCGGCAACATGGACTCTACAATGTGACAAAGGGGCAGCAGGTAGCCTAGCGGTTAAGAGTGTTAGGCTAGTAACCGAAAGGTCGCTGGTTCGAATCCCCGACCCGGTGACAAATCTATCGATGTGCCCTTGAGCAAGGCACTTAACCGTAATTGCTCCTGTAAGTTGCTCTGGATAAGAGCGTCTGCTAAATGACGTAAATGTAATGAAACTTTGTTGCTCCTTGCTAAAACAAGCAAGGTGTTGTAGCAAACAAGTTTTCAGTTGCCTAGGCAATGCCCACATCCCTGCAGCAGCAGTCAAGAGCAAAGGAAAGGAGAAAATGTGCATCAGATGTTTTATTGTTGCTATTCGCATGGTTATAATGGTACCAATGACCAATGATCGTCATCCAAATTTCCATGATCGTCACAGCCCTAGTCTGGAGCTCAAAAAGTAGTATAGCAGTATGCAAATCAGGGAGCCAAATGATTGGCTCTTTCACAGATGAGATTCGATTCCTGACATTCACCGAAAATGGAGCTGTTCGTTCATGAACGACCCATCACTAGTTTGAACCAAAGTTCCCCACACATTAGGTCGATGTATTCCTCAATCAACTCTGTTTTGGTTTGCCCGTGTACACACAACATTCCACAACGCTTTCCTGGTTGAATGTAACAAGGAAACAAATGCCCAGTACTGACCTGAAGGGGAAAATCCCTTGTAGTGCCCGTTTCAACAAATAAAGTGTGCTTACCTATTCTTCACAGATATGACTAAGCAAACACTTTCTCAAAACATGGCAGATCAACTACAAGCCATCAAATTCAGGTAATATCTTATCAACTGGGATTCCTGTCCTTCTTTTAGCAATTGATCTCCTGTATTTCTCAACATAGGCTATTTAAATGATCCATTTGTAATGGTAGTCTACTTACAAAAACAGCAGATATTACAGAACACTTCTACTCAAAAGAGCAGCAGTCAACACCTGACTAAACAGCCCCATCTTACAGATGGTGTTTATTGTTTTACCGACATCTCTGTGTGGCCCTGTCTATCAAACCAGCCCTCTCTAAGCTATGGTGTTTACACGAGTTTCACCTGGCCTCTGTGTAGACCTATCAGTCACCCTCCATTAATAACAGAGAGGACCCTGACCTAAAACCCTACTGACAGGTCTGGGAACTAGGGTTGGTGGCCCTCAGCAGTCTGCAGTCACGGTCAGCTCCAAGCAGGTTAATGATATCAAGTCTTGTGTCGAGTCAGCTCCTTATCTTATCTCTGCCGTTTGTGGTCTTAACCTTGGTTTGGATGGGGAAAATCTTTAAGTGCCAAAACCCCTGAGGGGCCTGGGTGGAGGATTGTATTGAAAGTAGCTAAGCGATCATGCAGTAGCAGCAACCCCCCCACTCACTCTCTCCACCCTCTCCCTCTACAGTGCAACTGGCCTATCAGGTCTGTTGTTATTCAGCGATAAGAGGCCCCTTGATCAGGCAGGCTGATTAACAATGGGAAAACAGTGTGACATTAACTTTCCTAGCCTCATGGACACATACAAACCCACACACACACACTCAAATACAGGGAAAAAAGCAAACACGTATTTGCACACACGACCATAGCCAGTGCCACGGTGGATACAAAGAAGCATTGACATAAAGGGGAAGAGATGAATCACCTGGTAAGCCAGATATCACTGATAATAGAGGCCAATGGTCAGAATGGGACCCAAATGTGTCACTACAAGAGGCCACCAGCATGAGTGGTGTCTCCACTGTTCACCACACACACACACACACACACACACACAACCCTGCTGGGGTTTTCCATCATGCCCATGGCCAAGAGATCAATAATCAGATACAATCTCCCCCTTGACTAAGGTTACAGATTGAGAATTCTGCTCATGCAGCTAATTCTGTAAAGTTTTGTGTCAGATCAAAACTACAGCAATCATTGCCTAAGCATTACATTTAAGATGGCATACATTACAATGGCATTTTGTCTAATATCAACTTAAATACTGCAACCACAGAGGTACAGAGACCTAGTGGTTCTGTTTGTCTATCTCACCTGACATTGTGTTGGCGTTGGGCTCTGGAGAGGGGCTGATTCAGGAAGACCCTCAGGAATACCCTCCACATGCAGTAAGTCCCAGCTATACCAGGATGAGAGGCGATTAAAACGCACCATTCTCAATCCTCACTTACTGTAGATGCAAAACTAGTCCAAAGAAAGTACAAATGTAAACTTTCATTTAGGAAGATCTGAAATCCAAAAGTCTCTACAAGATCAAAAAAAACATGACAGCTCAAAAAAATAGGAAGAAGTCCAAAGCACAGTGAAGTGCTGAGGTGGAGGAAGGTTGTAGCTACTTCTTCTGTCGGTCACCAGAGCAGTAGTGCCTGACTCTCTGTGTCTCCTGGCAGGTCAATGTTCACACTTGGATCATAAAAATGCTGTGTGTCCTCCCTTCTCTCTTCAAGCCTCAACACACTCTACTGTCCGAGTCTCACACATTAAACACACACATTAAACACACACACACACACACACACACACACACAGACACACACACACACCTACTGCTCCTGCAGCAGTTCAACTGGCTCCTAGCCCCTCCCAGTCATACCTGAGTTCCCACCCGATTGGACATAAACAGCAGACATTAGTCCCCACCTGGCCCAGCATGCTCAACAACACAGTAGGCCTATTTTACACATAACACCACACTTAGTACACAGAAATATCCCCATTCACGTTGGATAAACAAACCTTCTATAAGACATGCATATGCCAGGTAGGGATTGTTAGATAAACAACTTGGGTTTCAATTGAGGTCATGGTTCAGCATTGCAATATTTAATGACACTGCTTTACAGTACTTGGTTGAATCACCAATGCAGACCACATCTACACTACAGCCTGTATATTTCAGCATCTAATATCCAAGAGCAATGAAATATCAATCGAACAAAATCTAGCATTTTCACAGCAGAGTTGTCTATCAAAGAACAAAAACATTAAAGTTATTAATATGTCAATTTGTTTCTTCTTAGTGAAGCTGAGATGTGTGAACGGGGTGGCAGGTAGCCTAGCGGTAAAGAGCGTTGAACCAATAACCGAACGGTGGCTGGTTCGAATCCCCGAGCCAACTAGGTGAAAAATCTGTCGATGTGCCGTTGAGCAAGGCGCTTAACCCTAATTGCTCCTGTACGTCGCTCTGGATAAAAGTGTCTGCTAAATGAGGTAAATGTAAATGAATGGGTATTCATTTCACTGAACAGGAGTGCAAGTGCATGCGACTCCTCCCCATTTTCATTCAAACGACTATTGCGCAAATTGCTGATTGTCCTCATTGTGTATTTCACACAGAGGTTTGATGGCCTGAAATGAATGAGCTGTTCATTTTGTTAGCCTATTCTGAGCAGAACAATCACTACTGTAGTCTAGGGGGAAAGACATGCATGTGAGCTCTGTGCTTAGTGGGGAATATCACACTGTGTAGTGAAAGATAAATAAATTATGACAACTGTTTTTCCCCTTAACCTACTTCCTGCTACCATCACCAAAGCAACCTTTCTCAAACCACAGGACACTGTATCACAGTTTTTGAATCAGTTAAAAAATTAATAATACTGTATAATATAACCAAACATGCATGTCTGAATTATAATGATACATTGTCAGGTGCATAATTAGGGGCGTGTGAGGGGTGTGTGGCTCCCGGTGCGCAAGGCACTGCATAGTAGCTGTGCTAGAATTGTTCGAACCAGCTCTGCTGTAGCCGGCGCAGCCGGGAGCATGCGCGCACATGGCCACGTCGTCAGGTAGGGGAGGAATGGCGCAGAGGTAGTCAGTTGATGAGCATGCGTTGCAACGCCAGGGTTGGGGTTTGTTTCACGGGGGCCATAGAAATAATAAGTATGCACTAGTAAGTGCAAGAGCGTCTCAATTAAGTGTAATGTGTTGTGTGTGTGTGTGTGTGTGTTGTGTGTGTATGTGTGTGTGAGTGCATGTGTTTAGCGTCTCTATCATGAGAGGGTCTACAGTGGAATGCCCGCGAGCCACTTCCTCTAAAAGATCAGGGCTGCCTGCGTTATGGTTCCTTGAACCCTCCAGGCTATTCAACTCCTGTAATATTTATCCCCATCCCCCAGTCTACTTACCTGTCCATTACACAAGACTCTTCCCCCTCCCTCTGGCCACTCCAGTTCCACAGACATCTCTAGGGTAGACCATCATTTCACCTTCTACTATAAACCTGGGTGGAACACAAGCCCTGGTTGACTTGGTGTGTGTGTGTGTGTGTGTGTGTGTGTGTGTGTGTAGAGTTTCTACTGGTTATATTATTGCAAGCCCATGTCAGCATCTAGTTTACAGAGTGACTGACTGATGGGAATGGGGGTCATCTGAAACTCTATTAGATAAGGGAGTCCTCTGACCTTCTACGACAGACAAGGACGGATGGACATGTGAGGATGTAGAGAGATTCCCATGAGTCTTCCTTCTGAATCATATTCCCATCTGTGCTCTATTGTACTGGACTGCTCTTCTCGTTTCTTTTTAAATCAGGAATTCGTGCACCATCACATTTCACAACAGTCATTGGTAGATGGGTTTGGCATATCCAATCAAATACTTTTATGGGATACAACAGACTGAAAATAATCAACTGCTATAAGAAAATATTATTCTATCTTACCCAAGGTCAGATGAGTTCACAGTGACAAGGCTTTGTAATGAGTCTGTCTATATGTCAAACGCCGTTCATTCTGAGCAGGTGAATCGTATCTTCCCACCTTGGCAATGTTGTATAATTGTAATTGTAATTTTTATTATTATTATTATTATTATTATCTATGGCAACCAAATGGTGCAAATTACATAAAGGCCTTATAAAATGTCCAAAGATCACTGTTATAGATGTGATCTAGATAGGTACTGATAAATCAAATGATACCAAGCGTCCACCGCATTCTGTTTGAAGTACTTGTTGTAAACCAGGTGACTGTTGCCGCCAACAGCTTAGATGATCAATAAATGGTTTATTATTATTTATTATTTTATTATTATTATTATTCGAAAGTTCCATTAGGCCTACACAGCGACTAGCATTTTCCAAAGCCTGTACAATATGAAACTCCAACTCTTGGACACAATTATACTAATAGTAATTTCACCTTTGGTCAAACTTTTATAAACACATTTTTGACACAGCCCTGCCAGTCTACCACCACTTGTGCCATGGGTTATTCCAGGTGCCAGTAATCTTTGCCCAGTACCTCTGGAGAAAGGAAACCTCTACCTCTGAGCTAGCTAGGTAGGTAGGCAGAGGGTTAGTGCTATGCTCTGGTTGGGCATGGGGATTGCATTGGGACTGTGTGAGTGTTGCACTGAATTTGATGAGAGGTTGAGTATCTAGTATCTACGTGCCATCACACGATAATGAGCCCTACACAGCCCTGCCCATCCCAGACCTTTGGTTTCTCTGGTCTGGTGAGAGACATCAACAGTGGTAATTGGGGAGGGGGAAATGGGTGAACAGGCTTAATCTGTATTCGTGATTAAGGTCAATGTGAAAACAGAAACCGATGGGTTGGGCCAGAGCCAGAACACACGTGGGTAAAGCGACGTTTTCAACATTCGTAATTGGCTTTGATGCTCTGATTGGTTAGAGACGATCCAAACACTGATGACTTTGTTTTGTACAATGCCCCTCAGCACCACAAACAAATTCAATGACGGCAGATTCAGACTGAAGTATGTAGCGAACGATAGAGCAGAGGAAGAATTCAGTGCGAGTCATCAGGCAAATCATAGGCTGCCAGTACCTATAACTTTCCAAGCTCTATGGCACACATAATATTACAAACTTGTAATATTCCATTCATACACAACGGACGCTCCTTTAAGAGAAGCAGAATTTGTCTGTTCTATTTGAAGCCTGCCTGGCTCAATTCATCGTTATGCCAAGCTGTATCCTGTAGCTAGATAAATATTTAAACTACCTGGAGCAAAGTCTTCTGTACGGTACAGAGCAGCCAGCCAGCCAGCCAGGCAGGCTTGGAAGGGTCAGTGTGTAGTTTAAAGGGCTGAGGTCAGCACACATAAGGTCCGGCATGTTTAATTTGACCTCAATCTCTCCCAGACCCTGTGCTCTGTTGGAATACTATATTAAGCAATGCATAGCACAGTGTAGCGTCAGTACAGGTGCATCAAAGCTGGGACCGAGAGACTGAAAAACAGCTTCTATCTCAAGGCCATCAGACTGTTAAATAGCCATCACTAGCTGGGTACCACCCAGCTACTCAACCCTGCACCTTAGAGGCTGCTGCCCTATATACATAGACATGGAATCACTGGCCACGTTAATAATGGAACACTAGTCACTTTAATAATGCTTACATACTGCTTTACTCATCTCATATGTATATACTGTATTATATTCTACTGTATTTAGTCAATAACATGCCACTCCGACATTGCTCGTCCTAATATTTATATTTACATATTTCTTAATTCCATTCTTTTACTTTTAGATTTGTGAATTGTTGTGCATTGTTAAATACTACTGCACTGTTGGAGCTAGGAACACAAACATTTTTCTACACCCGCAATAACATCTGCTAAATATGTGTATGTGACCAATAAGATTTGATTTGATTCTACAGGATGGAAAGTGTGTAGCCTTTCTCTACTAGTTATCTCCCCCTTGAGGACATGGTGAGAATTGCTGCAGTCGTTATAGTTCCAAGAGTCGTCCGTTTGAGCTGATGATACAACAATTAATTACATGTACTGAAAAAGGTTGTACCAGGCAACATTTCTTAGCATATGGCTTTTTAGTAGCCAAGAAGAGCCTATGTATTTTACTGAAGGGGACTTGTCAAGCATTAACTGCTGACTGAATGAGACACTTCTAACTAAACAAAGACAGGAATGGAGAGGAACAGTATGACCAAACTCCTGACTAATCAGACAGGCCCATGATTAATGTCCGAGGCTGGTGACTTGCCCATCCACAGACAGACGGACACTAAAGCCCTGTTACATTACAGCAACCTCAGCTCTATCCCCGCCTATACCTGTTTCCTAGCCCAGGGGCACGGTCGGAATGACATCACACCTATGTTTTCAGTGCACGCAACGCTACCTCGTCTCACCTGCGTGTGCAAGTGCTGAGTGGGTCTAGACTTGTCTGGAAGGCGCTTCACCGTTCACACCCATTGACTTGTTTTTCGCTATGTAACCACAGAGGGCTAGTCCACACAAGCTTCAAAGCAATGTGCACTGGCAGAGAAAGAGCATAGCACCAACCATAGATATTATATTGAGGGAAGGTTGAGCCTGATAATTCAAGCCTCTCTCTTTGTCACTCGATACACAGCTATGGAAAGCATGCCTGTGTTTAGTACCAGTTCACCTCTTGTCCAACAGAGCAGCCAGCCACCCTTTCTCAGCACATCTTATCCAGCCCAAAGTGAACACTTCTTGGTCCTTCCTGTCAGTCGCAGGAAGCAGCCAGAGGCAGCGCCTCTTCCTGTGTGAGGTCACCAGTCTCACAGCAGGCTCAGAGGGCTGCAGTGGAGGCTGGCACAGCCCGGGCTAGTAGGAAACATAGTGTAGGCTGGCACAGTACAGAAGTTATGAGGAAATCGATAAGCAGGGTTTAAGTGTTCAGATGGGAGGAAAGATAGAGAGGTAATGGAGGATGAGGTAATGGTAATGACTGGCTTATTATCACTACATAGAATTATCCACTACATGAAGAAAAGGCATCACAGGATGAAGGATGAGATTATGGAAAGTGGGAGGAAGTCACAACAAAAGTTTAAAGAGGTTTTAGAGATGAGGAGGTAGTGTCAGATAGGATTTATAGTTTAAGTGTGCTTACAAGTGTCTGTATGAATGTATTTAGCTATTGCATGAATATGTTTGTGTATGTGTGTGTGTGTTTAATGTGTGTGTGGTTTGTGTGTGAGAGAAAGAGATTTGGTGTACATCGGGTGTAGTGAGTGAGTGAGAACATACTGTAGAGGCTGCACTGACCAGCAGGTCGACGTTGCCCTCCTTGCGTCCAAGGGAGCTGTGCTCCACCGTCTCACTACCGGGGGTAAGGATGTAGGGACCCTGGTCCACCAAAGAGGGCTTCATGTTGGGCAGACTGAGCGACCGCAGGTCCTTCACCCCCTGCTCAACCTTCAGTTCATCACCTGGCCGCGCTGAGGAGGAACCAACATGGAGGGTTAGCTTCCTGTTTAAAAATTATCTTTATTGAAGCTAGTTATTTGAAATAGAAAAATACATCCCATAAAACATAACATTCTTTTTTTTTTTTGCTCTAGCTTCCTGTTGAAGTTCTCTCTCCACAGGCTCTAAAACATTACCTCTAATCAAGTGGATAGTCTTAAATCCCACTTAAACATTGGATTGTGTAAAGATACTCCTTCAAGGCCAGGTTTTAAGATGATTGGCTAAAAGGCTGCAGATTGCACTGGATGAGTTTCTTCAGTTCAGACTAGGTGGGGACAGTGAGGTGAGGAGGGGTGGAATGGTATCAAATACATAAAACACATGGTTTGATGCCATTACATTCGCTCCGTTCCAGCCATTATTAAGAACCTCCACTGATCTATCCTGATTGCCTAGTCACTTTTACCCCTACCTATATGTACATATTACCTCAACAACCTCGTACCCCTGCACATTGACTCAGTACCGGTACTCCTTGTATATAGCCTCATTATTGTTATTTATTGTGTTACTATTTTCATTTGCTAATTTTCTTACTTTTTAACTCTGTATTGTTGGGAAAGGGCTCTTAAGTAAGCATTTTAACGGTAAAGTCTGCACCTGTTGTATTCGGCACATGTGACAAATCCCAAAAAATATTTGATGATTTGCTGCTACAGATAATAGTCTCATGCAGGGATCCAAGATGGGGGACGCCATGTCCAGTTTCTTCTGAACCAAGGGAGATACAGGAAACTAAGGCCCTGCAATCTGTCCCACCCAGGGATTGTTTATGCTTGGGGGGTAAAAAAAGAAGCCAAATATTCTCTAATAAAGGCCAATTCATTAGATTGGTGTTTGTTTCATGTTTTGTCATCCCTAAAAATATAGTTGTCAGTGCTGGGAAGTAATCAAAAGTTTAAACACATTGTACCTTTGTTGGTTTAGACTCAAAACACCCATAAATCCACAGACAGAGGTAGATTCAATGGGAAAATATAGTTAATATATACTATTCTAGTTTATTCATTGTGAAACTTGAGGGAACCAAAATAAGATGTGGTGTTCTGGTGTATGCTGACTGGTCCTCTGATGCAGTTACCTTTGACCTTGAGATAGTGCCCCCCGAAGCGGTAAGCCTCAAAGTTGAGGGACAGCGGAGTGTTGGACTGGTCCAGGAACAGATCTACCTGGGATAACTCAATACCTTTACGCTCAAACACAGGACCCATCACCTCCCTGGAATAGAGGAAAACACAGGACCGAGAGAACAGAGTTAACAAAGACCATTCACACAATACAGTTATATAAACACAGGATAGAGAGCATAGAGTTAACAGAGACCATTCAATAGCATATTATGTAATACAGTGTGTCCTATCCAAAGAATAGAACAGTATTATATTGTATATCACTATGGTACCATGGCTTGGACAAGCCAGACCAAACCCTACAGCAGGGTTTCCCAACTGGTGGCCCACCGGTGACTTTATTTGGCCCACCAAGTTTTTAAATTGTTGGACACAAAAGACTGTAAAAACACTAGCAATCCAGCTCCAAGTGATTTTTACTTTGGAAATCTGTTCCAAAGTATTCCCATGCATAATAGATATATATATATATATCTATATATATGTGATCATATACAAATGTAAGCAAGGTTTGAAATTATTATGTTTTAGTCAAATATTATATCCATTTGGGCTTCTTGCGGTCAATTTGCAGTCTACAAAGGATTTGTAATTATGTTCCGGCCCCCTGAACATCCGCTCAAGAAAAAAATTAATCAGCCAGCGGCTGAATCTAGTTGATGATCCCTGCCTTACAGGCTTAGTCAAACCATTCATAATGATCCCACCACTCCCCAGTCGCCTTCTTTCTCACCTTAGGGTCTTCTTTTTCACAGCGGGGACGATCTCTGTGTCGATGTCCACGTTCAGATCAAACTTGAGGCTGAAGCACTCCTTGCTGGGGTCCTGCAGGGGGCGACAGACACAGTGGAAGTTAATGGCTGTCGAACTGAAGAGCCCAGTCAGAACTCCCATAGTGATCTGTCTCTCAGTAGATACACAGGGAGGCCCTTTACTAGCAGGCTGGCTGGCTAAGAACACTCAGGAACGGACCATTGGAGACCATTATACATCACTCCCTGGCTGCCACAGAGAACTAACGCGGCCTCAGAGAATCCTGTTGGCACTGTGATCATCATACAATCTAACTTTTCACCACATACAATAAGACCAACAGACTTGACCCAATACTATTAGGAACTGAGGTAGAGAGATGTGGTTTCCTTAGGGGTGTATCTCTATGTCGCACCCCTGCCCGGCTGTATCAATACTCACATCAGTGTGCCGTCGGCGTGGTTTCTTCTTCACCAACTTCAACCCCCCAACTTTACGTTCCCTGGAAAAAACCAACAGTCATATGCACATTAATTTACACAAATATTGAATAAATCATTCACACATTAACCCCCATAGTGTAATGGAACATCTATGGCAGGGGTGTCAAACTCATTTTAGCTCAGGGGCCACATGGAGGAAAATCTATTCCCAAGTGGGCCGGACCGGTAAAATCATGGTATATATAACTTAAAAACAACAACTTCAGATTGTTTTCTTTGTTTTAATACGATCAACATAAAACATAAAGCTGGAGCCTGAGGACAGTGTGTCCAAAATAGTACAAGCACAACATCACTATTAATCATAAAACACCAAGTTTATTTGAAAATTCTAAAGAAAAAGAACACACAAACACACAATGCCTCAGTGATTCACAGAAGTATATCACAGATCACAGAACTATATCAGGGTGTCTCATGCAGCACTTTAAGTGGGGTTGCATAGTTTATTTGACTCCTGATACCTGGCATCTTTTAGCTTTCACCAGCGCATCAATATCAGGCGTCACATCCTTAGTGGCAGCCAATTTCAGGATGTGATTCAAGTGCTTGTGCGTGAGCCTTGAGCGCAGCTTTGTTTTATTTATGCTCATTACAGAGAAAACTTGCACACAAAGATATGTGGTTCCAAACATGCACAACAGTTTTGCAGCGAGGGCTGTCAAGTTGGGGTAGCCTGGCAAGAGATTCTGATAAAATGTGTCCAAGCCAGCTGCGGCAAATTTGCCCTTCAAATCCGAGTCACACTGCAAGTCTATTATTTCAAGTTGGATGCTGACGGGCAGATCAGAGGGATTCACGGTGAATGGCGAGCAAAAAACGTTGAAGTCTTTCTCCAGTTCACCAAAAATCTGAAAGCGTTGCTCAAACTCCCGTAACAGACCCGTTATTTTATCTTTGAACCGCTTCATGTCTGCCACATGTTGGGTTGCGCACACATTTTTCAGACAAGGGAAGTGAGCTGCATCGCCACCGGCGAGTTGCGTCTCCCACAATGACAGCTTCAACTTGAAAGAACGTATGCTGTCATAATACTGCGTGACAACTTTGTTGCGCCCTTGCAGCTGTTTGTTCAAGTTATTCAGGTGCTCTGTAACATCCACCATAAATGCAAGGTCCTGCATCCATTCTGCGGAATGAAATTCTAACACTGGTTTGCCCTTTTCTTCCATGAACTGTTCAATTTCTTCTCGTAAATCAAAGAAATGCCTCAGCACAGCACCTCGGCTTAACCATCTTACCTCAGTGTGGTATGGCAGGCCATAGATGTGGTCTTTTTCTCTGAGAAGGCTGTCAAACTGACAGTGATTCAGGCTTCTGGATCGGATGAAATTAACAGTTTGGATGACCACCTTCATAACATTATCCATCTTTAATGACTTGCAACACAAAGCCTCCTGGTGCAAAATACAGTGAAAAGACCAAAAATCACGTCCTCCATTTGCAGATTGCACTTTCTCTCTGAACTTTGTTTCAACGCCTGCTTTTTTCCCGATCACTGAGGGCGCACCATCTGTAGCGCGGGACCAGTCCACTCCGACCCTGTCCAGCGCGCCGACGAGTGCAGTGAAAATATCAGCTGCTGTCGTTGTATCTGTCATCAGCACCAACTCCACAAACTCCTCGGTGACGGTCAATGTGTCATCAACTCCGCGGATGACAATGTAATGTCCGTGCTTTCATCAATTGCAACCGAAAACGCAATAAATGACTTTACTTTTTGCTTCAACTGGCTGTCCAAATCCACTGAAAGATCGGAAATCCTGTCTGCAACTGTGTTTCTTGTCAGGCTGATATTTGCAAAAGCCTGGGGCTTTTCAGGGCACACAATCTCCGCTGCCTTCATCATGCATGTTTTTACAAATTCACCCTCACTAAATGGTTTTGAAGCCACTGCGATTTCATTAGCAATGAGGTAGCTAGCTTTCACTGCAGCGTCACTGATGTCTCGGCTGTGAGTAAACACAGACTGCTGTTTCTTCAGACCCGCCAACAGTTCATTCACCTTCTCTCTTCTCCGCTGTCCTTGAAAGTTGTCATATTTGTCGGCATGAAGACTCACATAGTGGCGACGAAGGTTATATTCTTTCAGCACTGCAACATGCTGTGAACACACCAAACATACAGCTTTCCCATTCAATTCCGTGAATAAATAGGAGGATGACCATTTTTCTTGGAACACTGCACTCTGCGTCCACTTTTCTCTTTTTGACAGAGACATATTGGGGCAATGAGGGTGCCAAAGCACATAATGTTAAAAGTAGAAACCGTAATAAATATCGTGGGCAAAACAAAGTAGCTCATCGGGACTGGCTGCAGTTGCTTGACCTACTTGCTCTGCCCCGGTATAAACAGTTTGCTTGCTTAATACAATTGCTATTGCGCCATCCAGTGGACGCAATTGGAACAGCAGTTTATTTTATAGAAAAATTGCAGCCCATTTTTATACTTTACAAAATCATCTCGCGGGCCGGATTAAACCCGCTTGCGTGCCTGATCCGGCCCGCGGGCCGGACGTTTGACACCCCTGATCTATGGAATAACAGGTCAACACTAACTGAAACATAACCACGACTATTGTATATTAATAGAGCAGCGCTGTCAAAGATGACTCCCCTCACTCGTCTAGTGTACATTTTGTGGCGCAGTGGTCTAAGGCACTGCATCGCAGTGCTAGCTGTGCCACTAGAGATCCTGGTTCGAATCCAGGCTCTGTCGTGGCCGGCCGCGACCGGGAGACCCATGGGGCGGCGCACAATTGGCCCAGCGTTGCCAGGGTAGGGGAGGGAATGGCCGGCAGGGGATGTAGCTCAGTTGGTGGAGCATGGTGTTTGCAACGCCAGGGTTGTGGGTTCGATAAAATAATGTATGCGCTAACTGTAAGTCGCTCTGGATAAGAGCGTCTGCTAAATGACTTAAATGTAAATGTAAATGTCCTTCAAACCAAAATGACGAGCGCCATGTTGACAGACAGACAGAGACAAAGTGATGATGTTTGGATCATTGACATAACGGGAGTGACATACCCTCGGTCGTTGCCCCCTTCGTCCTCCTCCTCTAGGTCAGAGGGGGGGCTGGTGCGGGGGGGACAGGAGCGTGTCGAAACGTTCCGGGCCAGGATTGAACCTTTCAGGGGGGTTACACAGAATATCTGTTAGAGATCTTTAATAATACTCTTTAATAACACTTTTCCTTAATAACACAGTTTAATCTAGCCTGAATAAATACTAAAAGGAAATTCTAAACTTTTATCAATTCTTCTAACTGTGGAAGGCAGTCACGACTAACTGGGAAGTCAGTGGTTGAACAGGAAGATGTTCTAGCGTTTATTCTCATGCATGTATTATGGTTGGGGGAAATCCATTTCTTAGACTCAACGGTTTCGATGCAAGTGTTGCTCTGGCAACCTTGACCTGACCTGTCATATGACCAGTGTTGGGTAAGCTACTCTGAAAATAGTTTACCAAGCTACCAATTACTTCACACTGGAAGAAGTGAAGCTATACTAAAGCTACCCTTATGAAAAATATAGCTTATTTAACTAAAGTAACTTAGAAAAAGTAGCTCACTACATCCAAACTACTTGGTGAAAAATTATCATATCCAATTCTGAAATGTCATAGACTACAAATTGCAAGAACAGATCACTCTGGAGTCAGATGCTGACAGAATGTGTAATTTAGTCTATTAAATACAAAAACTGTTTCAAGTGAGAATTAGGCAGGTCTGATGCCAAAAAAGAAAGGAAATGATTGCCTACTTGAAAAAAAAAAGTAGTGTGTAGTTCCAGTAGTTAGTCACTTTTCTGCCATGTAGCGGTGTAGCTAACTACTGAAAACACTACCAAAATGTGAATTTAGTTAAACTACCACCAAGCTACTACAAAATGTAGTTAAATTACTAATTGAACTACATGTAGTTCACTACTCCCAACACTGCATATGACCTGACCTGAGTGTAGGATTGGGCACTAAATGTAGTGGGGAGGAAGTCTGGGTGTGTAACTGTTGTGGTGGGTAGTGTTGTGTACCTTGGGGTTGCAGGTCAAAGCGGGGGTGCCGGTCAAAGTGCATGTCTGTTTCTTCCAGGTGGCAGCGGGAGTCACATGACTCACAAAGGTGAAGAGGGCTCTTGTTGTTCAGGTCCAAGCAGTCTGGGTGGTGGCACACCTGGAGAGAGGGAGAGCGGTGAGGGTCAGTACAGCCTGGTCAGTAGTCTCACGCACCAGACACTTCCTCCCCAAGCTCGCAATTAGCCTGGGGAGGTCAAGCAGGCTAACAGAGAGACAGGTCACAGTATAACGCTATGTACACATCAGCCTGACGGCAGGACAGACAGCCTAATGCTCCAGGACCCAAGCCATTGTTTATCCCATCACAGGGGCATGGAAGCAGCAGACACAGTTTGATATCACACAGCGCACAGAGGTCTTCTGACTAGAGTTAGACAGCCAGAGAGCCAGCCAGCCACCCATCCAGTCAGGCAGGCAGACAGGCAGCAGAAGGGAGCTGGATTACGCCCTCTCCACCTGTGGCCAGACCGAGACAGACCCCCCCCTCATCTAGCCCCTCTAGAGGACAGCAGCTCCAGGGGGTGGAGGACATGGGTAGAGGTTTCCCCTCTCCAGCCTCTCCTCCTCCCCCAGCACCACGACAACCCAGACTGACTCCTATACAGGAAATGAGGACGTATGGGGAGATACAATGGAGGTCCTGCTAATGTATTTCCTGTCATTGTCTCTCTGTGCTCTGCTCAGGACTGGAGGTGTGTGTGTGTGTGTGTGTGTGTGTGTGTGTGTGTGTGTGTGTGTAGGGGGGTCTAGGGGGGCCTTCATGTAAACAAGCACACACAGACACACACAAGCAGAACAACAAGTGTTTTCCCACAAGATACCAGTCACTCAGGTTGAACAATAATCACACAGCCCTGTTGGATGTTCTTACTATGTTGACAAGCCAATAAATACACCTGTAGTCTTTGTATTCCATGCACGGATATCAAGTATGTGTCAACAAAAACATGCAGCATGTCAACTCCAGCTATCCACAAACATAGATATACCATATGTTCTGCTAGGCCCATTAAGCTGTACTTTAAATCCCTGGAAAACAGTCAAGAATGCTTTGGTTTAATTAATTGAAGCGTACAGGCATGTGCCCCTGTCTTGCCCTCACCCTCCTCCTACCGTCCAGCTGAGTGGCTGAGAGCAGCACTGTCCACCAGCCATACAGTCAGGCTCCAACTCCAGCACCCAGGGCTTCAGCTACAAAATCCACCACCGTCCTACACCACCTCTACAGTACGCTAACTAACTCTACAGTACGCTAACCAACTCTACAGTACTCTAACCAACTCTACAGTACGCTAACCAACTCGACAGTACTCTAACCACTCTACAGTTCGCTAACTAACGGAGTCCTTTCCTTTCTTTCCACCCTGGAAACAGCCACAAGCTGCCTAATTAAGCCACTCTTCTCAATGTCTAGCCAGGTTAAGTACCAGTAAGTATTTTGAGGAACTGGTTCGGGTCCGGGGGGAGGGGTAGCTGTGAGGTGAAGACCGGCCAAGCCAAGGAAGGAATCCCAGTATAGAGATAAACGTGAAGGAGGAGGAGAAAAAAGAAGCGAGCAGCTTTAAGAAGTCCAAAGCCCCCTAATCTGGGCTCAGTGGGCTGGTCTGGTCTCACTCTGTCAGAGCCATCTGACGCTCCGTCGGCAGGCAGGCAGGGTGGAGATTAAACCAGGGGCCTCTCTCTCATTTCTCAGACAGCCAGTCAGGGTCCTCTCTGACGCTCCTCCTTTCCTTTCCTCGGGACGTCTAGTCTACACACTAACCCAGCCACATGTCTAGGATTAACAGCTTGCTGTGGGGGGGGGGGGGGGGGGGGGGGGAGGAGGAGAGAGAGAGAGAGAAAGAGAGAGCACAGAGAGATAGAAGAGAGACGAGAGAGAGAGAGAGAGAGAGAAGAGAGGAGAGAGAGAGAGAGAGAGAGAAGAGAGAGAAGAAGAGAGCAGAGTCTCTGTTTCTGCTAGTCGCCTCTATGCTATTCTCCTCGTTGCCCGTCTTTTACTGTAATAGGCGAATTAGCTCTCTGCTTTAAGTTAATTGTGATTGGTGCTTCATGTTTTTGATGGATATGTCATCTGGTATGCTCTCCTCCAAAAGCACAATTAAGTTAAGTGTGTTGGTGCTTTCATGTTTTTAGATGGAGCATGTCTCTGGTTGTTGGACGGGAGATTCAAATGCAACTTAAAAGAAAGGCCTTGTTCCATTCATTCTAAACATTGGTGTGATGGTATAATGCTAGTTATATTAATCCATGGTTGGAATGTTTCGTTCTGTTCTCTCTCGCTGTTAAATAAAATACATAGCATCGTGCTATGTAACAACACGAGCATGTCAGGAGAAATCAAAAGAGTACTGCTTTCAATTTGTTTTCCTGGAAATAACAAACCTCTCCCCTCAGAAGTCATATCACACACGCAAAACACAAATAGCTGACAGACAAGACTTCTGTAGCCCAACAGCACTCCCTCAGCACAACCACAGAACTAACAGACTTGACATGGTGTTAATGAAATGTGGAGACAGACATTGTGTGTGTGTGCGTGCGTGCGTTCAGACGGGTGAAACAGGAGCAAATCAGATGCCATATTTCGACCACGGCAGGCTCAGCAAGGTAACCGACAACTCAAGCATGGGCCGGGTGTCCAGGCAGCTGCATTCCTGTCGGGACTAAAGCTGCTGAATATATCTGCTGCCTGGCCGAGCCAAAACAAATAAATGTGTCGCCTCTCGGATGAGGAAAGCTCTCCTCTACCTCTTCTCTCCTGGACCAAAAGCCACACATTCAGTCCCAAAACCTGTCTGAGAGTTTTGTTTAAAAGAAGAAACAGACTAAATATGAACATACTCAGAGGATAAGACTCAAAGGCTTTGTCACTGAAATTTTGTATGTTCTGTTACCATTTTATCTCAGCGATTGATACATGGTTGTGATAGTATTTCGAACAATAGGTCACCTAAGAGTGAAGATGAGAGCACAGCACACTTGATGGTGGTGGTGACTGGTACTAATGGGCCAATTAGAGTGGATTGTGACTTTGAGGGAGGCTGATGGTCAAAAGACAGCTGGCTGGGGATCGGGAGCTGGGAGTATGGATGTGTGTGTGTGTTGTCCAGAAGCGTGTTATCAAGTAAAGGGGATTAGCGGTGGGTTTCAAGGAGGAACAGTGATTGTGGCTGGAGCAACACGGACACACACACACACACACACACACACACACACACTCGACACACACTCAAGCCCTCTGACAGCTGTGAACACACACAGGCCCCTCTGCGCCCCTCGCTCAGGCTTAGCACCATCACTGCCATGTGGTACCTGCTTACACACACTTGTTGCCATGCATACCACACACACGACCAAGGCGCCATCACACACTACCAAGGCGCCATCACACAATACCACACACACACGTGGTAGCCTACACACACAATCATGTGAACAAAGTTGTTACATTCCAACTTCCAACCCATCAATGGGAGGTAGACCTCTATTGAATGAACATTCCTCTCACCGACTACAGCTGCCACACTTCGAGATGACTGGGTTCTCCTGAGGTGATTCAGCACTGTTACCTCGGAGTCTGGATCACACACTCACACACACTATGGTCGGCGTTATAAGGTTTGATCCCCCTCCATCCCCCTTTGCCATTAGGAAAATACTAATAAAATGCAGGGCCAGGCTGCCAACAGCACTGCATCAAACACAACAGTCTCTCTCCCAGTCTCCACCGTGGATGGTCCCCCACCCCGACTGATTGGCTTTAATCTGAACAGCCTCTCCTGCCAAAGCACACTTAATCCCAACCTCTCTGTGTGTGTGTGTGTGTGTAGTGTAACAAGGTTGTTAATAGTGTCAGTGAATGTTGCAATGAGTGCCTGTGCAATGTCATAGTGTGTGAGAGAGTGATTGAGTGGTGCTCACTGGAAAATAGGGATATTGGTAGAAGGAGACTGGTTATTGAGAGAAATTCTAAAAGAAAATAGGGCCCTTGTGTTTCGTTTACTGCTCCACACACACACACACACACACACACACACACACACACACACACACACACACACACACACACACACACACACCAATCACAGGCAGCCTAAATCAACACACCATTGAACAGCTATGACGCATGTTCAGTCAAGACAGACAATTGTGTTTAGCTAGGTCGAGCACAGACCAAACAGTCACGATGACATTTGAATATGGCTACTTGGCTACTTGTGTGTAGTACTCTAATAAAGCCTTAATTTCAGTAATTGACTTTGTTAACACTACAGTCAGTTGATAGTGTGCTGCAGAGTGTTTCAGTGAAATATTCCACTATAACGTCACTCCACCCCCACACTAAAGGTTACTTCAGGACCAGGCCCTAACATGTTAGACATCTTTGATTTGGCAACTTGAAGATGAGATTACCCTTTAGCGTTAGATACCTTAGCAGATAGGCCTTCCCATCATCAGTCATTTGAATGTGTAAGACGTACTGAATCACACACACACACACTCACACGCACACACACCCCTGGCTTGGATCGCAAATTAGGCTCATCTGGTGTCTACCGACTTTGGATGACACGTCATCACTAACACACACACAAAAAAGAGACACACACACACACAAATGATTGGTTGGACTCAGTCATGTACAGTCTTGTACAAATAATAAGCTTGTTCTGTGCACTTACACACCCTCAACTGAGACCGGCTGTAATAAAAGCCATTTTGTTGGAAAAAAACTCATTCTGATTGCCAGGGCCTGGCTGCCAAGTGGGTGGGCCTATGCCCAGTTTTGTGAAATCCATAGATTAGGGCCTAATGAATTTATTTGAATTGATTGATTTCCTTATATGTAAAATCTTTGAAATTGTTGCATGTTGCGTTTATATTTTTGTTCAGTATATATCCCAAACACAGAAAAAAAGTAAACAACAAAAGTACACAATATTAATGGCTCATACTCCTTCCCTGAAAAGCAATAATGTCAACTTATTCACAAGCTTGTCCTGCTCACAAACCCGGCATCTTTGGGCTTCTTCATTTGAAGCATGTATACAAAGGCTGATAGACAAAGAAATGACACAAACACACATTATTGACCAGCACTCAGTCCACTCATAAGCTTAGAACTCAGGGCCTGTGTTCAAAAGGTCTCTCTGGAGTGCTGATCTAGGATCAGGTCCCCCTGACCATAAAATCTATCTATTGATTATGATCTAGGAAAAGTATTGTTGCCACAGCAGATGTTCCAGACCTGAAAAGCTTCTCTGCTCTCTAACCCTTCCCAGTCCTTCCTATCCTGGTCTGTTCTGTTCTGGTACTCGTGTTCAGACTTCACTCAAACAGCCTCTGCCTCCGTCGCCATGCTCCGTCGGCAGAATCTCTCCACACCACTTAAAAAATATACAGCTACAGCTTGGGAGGCCAGCACTCACCGTAATGCTACAGCTAGCTGTACTATTGGGACATCGTATCAATCCTGGTTTTAATTCAGAATGATGGATTGGTACGCAAATGCTAAACACTAAATACCCAGGGAGTATGCTTTACATCAAAAAGACAGCTAAATAACTACTTCTTGGGCCTGCCATCTAGGCTATCATTACTTTTAGTTACCGTTTACTGAGAACACATTTTTATGCCCCTCTTGGGAGTTGAGCACGCGACTGGGGGCCCCATGGGTGCACTGTAGAGGTTGGTTTCCTAAACATTACACGATGTAGCCTCAGTGTACCCAGTTGTGTAGTGGAGGGTAAATGCAGGTATATGCCGCATACCCACTTATCTTTCAGTGGGCATTGCATATACTCACTTCTTAATCCCCAGGATGCGTATCAAAGTAGTGTAGTGGAGGTATACGCCATGTCAATTAATACGGCTGATGGAACAGATCAGAATGTTTAGCTTAAAATGCTGATAAACTATTATTTCTTCACATTTTCAGTACAGCAATGTGCACACGACGGTAGGCCTAGAACGGTGTAAATGTTCCAAAATGCAATTTGCAGAAAACCCCACTCTAAAATGCGCACTACACATGCGAGCGGTTTCATGGCCAGATATGGAAATATTCATTCGAAATTAAGAGAGATGCAACAACTATCATGGGTTGCTAATATGACTAGGATCAAGCCTTTGGCTGGTAGACAATGAAAGAAAGTTGAAAGAAAACCAATAGAACAGGAGAACGCATAGAAGGAAGTCTTTATAGGCTACTTTGAAGCAAGATAAGACATGCTTCATATATGAAGTAAAAAGTCCAGGTTTCAAACAATTAAGGAACAGGAATAATATAGTGATGCTAATTATAGGCCTAACTGTCTTCCGGTAGATGGAAAGGCTTTCCTAAAAACCTTCTCAATTAAATGTTAACTAGCTACAAAGTAGCCTATGCCTACCTGGCAGAATGATATCATGATTACTTGCATCAATCCAGTGGCCATTTGTTTTGCAAACTCCATCTCATGTGCTACAGAAACACCACTAACCAAACAACAGTGCTAGGTGCCTGCCACTTGAATTAAAGGGTAAGTACACTTAAAAATCTAAATTTCATAGATTTTTAAAAGACCTCAAAAGCTGTCTCCTGATGTGGTTTAAGCATTGTTGTGGACTTAGAAAAACAACAAAATTGGATGTTCTATTTAAAAAGTGTGACTTACAGCGAAAACCAGATTTTTTATTTTAAAATCAGAAACCTATGAATTTCTGATCTCAGCCTCAATTATCTGTTTCAATTGTAGGCCTACTATTATCATACTGCACAGTACAGCTTGGGTTGGCCTGACTGTGAAAGACCAATATGGGATTGATCATTTATCACTGTTTCTCATAGAATCTTTCACACAGGGAACCTTTCCTTTGCTGGGCGGGTCGTTTGGAAAATGTTTGGCAAAATTAGAGTATACCCACTTCTCTAGGCACCACTACACCACTGAGAGTACCCTTTTAGTTATGTCTGTGACTGGTAGGCTAGGTGGAAACAGAGAGGTGGGGGGATGGATGGATAAATTAGATCAAAGGGATAGATCAGAGCTCCAGGTCAGGACTGGGCCAGATCTGATCATTTATTTTTCAATAAATAAAACTTGGGCGAGTCTGTGAGAAGAGGCAGGGGAGAACAGTACCGCCGCTCTCTCTTTCTTCTCCCGCCATCGGTCCGTTTCTCTAGCTGGGCTCTGAGAGAGTGCCAGAACCAGGCCGGAGCTTTTAAAGCAGGAGGTCTTACACAACGCCAGCCTGACGTGTCTGTCTCCTATTAACCCCCTCCCTTTACTTTGGAATGGTTTTCTTCAAACACACATATGGACCTCTTCAAACAGAGGCACTTGTTGTGTCGGAGTGTTCAAAGCTAGGGCAGAGTGAGCGTGCATGTGTTTCTGGGACACATGGGATGATTCATGTATAAAGGCTTGTACTGTAGGGAGGCTTGTTTTCTATTTGTAATAAGGAGATGACTGGCAGAGCGAAACGTCCAAGCCCACACCTGAGGCTGAGTGACTGGTAAGTGTCTGTTTGACAGGATAATTGTATTGTATTTGTATTTATTAGGATCCCCACTGTTCCTGGGGTCCAAAAAGGATTAAAACAACCACATCACAACAAAATGTAACAAGCCTACATCATAAACAAAACATTACTTCACTTCTCTATCACTATAAATCTACAATATTACAATGTGTGTGTGTGTAGTGTGTGTGTTAGTGTGTGTGCATGTCTCTTCACAGTCCCTGTTGTGCCGTGAGGTGTTGTTCTATCTTATTTATTTGTTATCAGATTTTACTGCTCGCTTGAGTTACTTGATGTATATACAGTATATGAGGGAAAAAAGTATTTGATCCCCTGCTGATTTTGTACGTTTGCCCACTGACAAAGAAATGATCAGTCTATAATTTTAATGGTAGGTTTATTTGAACAGTGAGAGACAGAATAACAACAACAAAATCTAGAAAAACGCATGTCAAAAATGTTATAAATTGATTTGCATTTTAATGAGGGAAATAAGTATTTGACCCCTCTGCAAAACATGACTTAGTACTTGGTGGCAAAACCCTTGTTGGCAATCACAGAGGTCAGACGTTTCTTGTAGTTGGCCACCAGGTTTGCACACATCTCAGGAGGGATTTTGTCCCACTCCTCTTTGCAGATCTTCTCCAAGTCATTAAGGTTTTGTGCCTGACGTTTGGCAACTCGAACCTTCAGCTCCCTCCACAGATTTTCTATGGGATTAAGGTCTGGAGACTGGCTAGGCCACTCCAGGACCTTAATGTGCTTCTTCTTGAGCCACTCCTTTGTTGCCTTG